CAAATTAATTTTTGTTTTTTCGATATTTGTGTGTCTTTTGCCATATAACATGACAGGAAGCTTTTTGCCAGGGGACTGTTTTTTCTATCAAATTGAGAAAAATCAAGCAAACTAGTTCAATGCATTCAACTTTTCAAGTTCTTAATGAGTGTTTACATTAATTAGAATAATATTAAGACTCATGGATCCAATTTTATAAATAAAAATAGTTGCCAAGGAACTGAGTTTTAAAGTGGTCCAGACACATATTTCCAGCACAAACGGTGCTTTGACACTAAATAAAATGACGATAAAGCGCTAACAGCCCTATGATTATTAACTTAAGGCTAGTTAGATCCTTATAAACCTTACAGAATGTAAAATAACACGCTGGATTTTTTTTTGGCTTTGAACTTCTGGCAGGGGACTGTTCTTAAAATGTCTGGGACAAACTTTGGTTTAATGAATTTAATGAAACAAATTAACTTTCAGTACTTTTCATTGAAGAAGTTTTAATTTTGGGAATGGGACAGCCCAGGGGACTGTTATTTCGGTGGTTTACGAATTTATAGCATAAAAAACCAAAATTTATTTCATTTTAGTTTTCAATGCTCCAAATAGAAATGTTTTTTTACTTTCGTAACAAATTTTTTTAAGTAACAAAATAACAATTTTTCCAATAAAAAAATGCCTGGGACAGCAAAAAAAAATCTTTACAGAGAATCATCCATTAATCAATTTTTACGGTAATTATTGGTTCGAGAAAAAATCCAGTGAAAAACTAAAAAAATATAAGTTTATTAAAATAAACGATTGAAATTTCTATACAATACATACCATAATTTGACTTCATGCTAGTTCTGCATAAAGCGATGTATCTGGCCCAGAAAGTGGTAAATCTGATGGTCGTTATTTCACAAAAGCTGTTTCAAGGGTGACGTTGCACTCAGCTAAGAATCTGTATGGTTGCCGCTGTTTCACCTGTACTGAGGGTTGGGCGACATTCACTATACTCATCCTTGTGTGAATCCGACATGAACGTTAAGCGGAAGTTGTGGTGATACAATTGCTAGACATATAATCCATCGCCTACATTCAAAATATTGTTACAACCACAGCTATTTCTTGTGCTGGAAATAGCTGGAATGAAGTCCAATATAAATTAACTGATTGGCTTAATAAAATAGATATATGGCTCAGGGAAAACCAACTATCTCTTATTGTGGAAAAATCTACCTTTATTACCTTTGGAAGCTACATAGACAGTATCCCAAATAAGTTTGATTTACAAATAAATGGTAAGCCTCTGACAAGAGTTGATAATTGTAAATATTTAGGGGTATATTTTGATAAACACTTGAAGTGGGATAAACATGCCTATGAATTATCTAAGCAGCTTAACTATTTCACTTTCCTTTTTTACAAGCTTAGCCAGGTACTTAATTTTTCTATTTTAAAAACTATTTATCATGGTTTGTTTGAAAGCATAAGAAACTATGGCATTGTTGCATGGGGAGGAGCCTATAACAATTCGATTAAACCTGTCGCATCTCTTCAACATAAAATAATTAAAAAGCTATGTAAAAATAATTACAACAATATCCCCTTGACAATTAGAGACTCATTTATAATAAATGCATTAACTTACTACTATCAAGAATGTAAAAACCTATTCTATGAAAAATGTACAAATACAAGATCTAAGCTGCTAATTCTACCAAAAATAAACAAAACTATTAGTACTCAGAATGCTTATTATGTAACAATTAAATATTATAACAAACTCCCTGCTGATATGAAAACTATAGATTGTAGTAAAAAATTGTTAAAAAAAAAGTTAAGTTACTGGATAAGAAACCTTAATGGTTAACATGCTTAAAAAATGTAATGGAAAATGCGAGTATTTGATTGGATATTTCTTTTTATGATAATTATTTATAATTTTGTATTTCCTTCTTTATAAATTTATTACTTTTTGTAGTTATTATCTTTTTGCATTGTATTATCAACAAAAATTTTGTAAAAAGTATATATATTGTAAAATTGGTATTTTTGTATTGGTTCTATAAACAGGTGTCTTTGCACCTCGATAGAATTCTTTACCAGATAAATAAATAAATAAATAAATAAATATTTCTTAATAGTAGTGCCCAGTAAAAATATAAATAATTTTGAAACAAAGTTTTGTCAATTCAAATAAAATAACGTAACTCATTATTTATCAAATATGTTTGTTATTAACTTTTTTATTGAATATTTGCATGAGGTTCCGCAAATTTTGAAACCCTCAAATTCAATAAAAACTTATATTTGAACTAGTTACAAAGTATTGCAGTAACTTTACTTCATTTGAGAGTTTTAAAATTTTTTTGTTACAAAAAAAATGTCATTTCAAATTATTATGGAACTTTTATTATTACTTATTCTGTCAATATTATTCTATTTCAGGAAAGTACGTCAAGAAATATTGTTGATAAGGAAGAAACTATTTCGAAAATGCCATTAAAATTGAAAAATTTAATGGCGATTATTGTAAAGCTTTTAATCCACGATCTCTATTAAATTTTCTCACTCTAAAAAGTTGAATGATCATTGATGAAAAGTTACAAGAATAAAATTCTTAAACGCATTCATCTGAATATTAAAAATGGCGATAAAATTTTTTCACTCTAACGCCTGATGCGAAAAAAGTTGTAAAATTAGAGTATGAAAACATAAGTCTCTTGGACTTATTTAATGTCGTTGTTATGACTCGCGATTGGTTTACCGCAAGTATATAAAATGTTACGTATAAAATTAAAGCTTATATTTTATACCAAATAAGTGAGTTACTCAAATATATTGTGAATAAAGGTTTAGTTCACAATTAATAAATGCAAGACTAATAATAGATGTTGCATTGAGTAAAAAACCATGAGGTTGAGTTTATCTTTAATTTATTTAAAGTAAAGAAATGCGACTGTGCGCTACAAAGTATGTAAGTATAACTAACTTAGAGAAAATACAAAAATTGTTACAAGGTGAGTAAGAACTAGGCGTTACAAGTACAAGCAGAAAAAATTAGGAGTAGGAATATTTGGTAACGAATAGTTAACGAGGAAATAATTTGGAGGCGGGATAGTTGCAAACTATGCAGTTTTGAAAAATAAGTAGGAAAGGGAAAAGGGATGCTAAGATTTTTACCTGGATGGGCGATACGTTTACAGAAAATATTTCTAAACTTAGTTAGCAATTAAAAGATTAAAAATACAAAATTTACCAAGAGTAAAAACCCAGAGTAATATAACCTAGGTATCAAGTTTATGACCATAAGCAGATTAAAAATTATTTAAGAAGATATCCCAAAAATTAGCATTAAAAATTCATTTTCTATTCTAAAGCTAGAAAATAACAAGAATATAAAAAGGGAAAAATTTGTCTAGACTGCTATTGCAATACATAGACTGGGAAATTTACACTCATAAATAAAGTTGAACAAATGAATGAACCTTTTTTTTTCTAGATAACTTAAAATACTTAAGAATATGGGTTTGAATTTAAAATAAAATATATTATTTACCAATTTAAATAATAATTTTGACTATAGAATAAAAAATATAAAATTGTTTAATTAATTTAAATTTTTTTTTAATAAAACTAATCGTACGACGGAACAGTCGTAAGATAGACGTATGAGTTGAAAGCGTACCTAAAGTTTACAAGTGCAGCGATTATCATACTACAGAATTGACGTCTCGAAAATGGTGATCAGACCTTAAATCATAAGTAATTTGCTCTAACTATTGAATAATCAATAAGCATTCGTCATTTTATATCTTACAGTTTCTATAAGATTGATTTACATAATTTAAGCTTACCTTTATGTTTTTTTTTCTTTCGTAAAAATTATCCTTCGTACACTGAAAAAATAAATTTTCTTTTGAAAAAATGAGCAATGTTGTAATGAGAAATTAATTTGTTAAAAATTTTCAACAATTTTATTTATTAGCTGGAGAAAAAAAATATATCTCACAGTAACTTTCTTGTTGAAAAAAAGTTCTTTGAAATTTATTGTCATAACAATATCCTTTTTTTTTCAAAAGAAATGTTTTCTCTCAGTGGACGAGATAAAACAACAAAACTTTCTAACAGAACTATATTTTATTAAATACGGAGTTGATATCTTAATATACTATTTTTCATGCAGTTATAGATTAATTTTTCGAGTTATGAAAAGCTTTTGCTTTTTAGAAGTATCAGTTACTCAAAATTTCACATAATTACTTAAGGAGAATCCGTGCTTAGCAATGAATTATAAAATGATTTGATTGAAACATTAAGGTTCCGTTTTCACTTGAATATTGTCTGTAAATTGCGATTTATTACTTTTTATCGTGTTTACTTTTTTTTTTGTACGAGCAACCTTATCTTGTTAATTATTTCTACTTTTTTTCAGAAAAACGGCATAAGAATATTTTTATTACAGAAAAACTAAACAATCCATCTTCAAATGATAACTTCTGGATCTTCAAAGCTTTATTTATTCGATTAAAATTACATTCTACATAGACAAACCTACTTCAAAGAGAATATCATCTTACAAATAAAAACCTATTATTTTCATAAAATATTATTTTTGTAAACTGTAATTTTAAAAGTGTTTTTAATTTTTTAATTTTTTGCTTTCTTCTCTTTTCATATTATTTATAAAAATAAGTATCATAAAATAAATTATGTAAAAATGACGCTTAAACTCGTGTATTCCACGTTGAATACATGGGTTGTGGTAAATTGAACTCCCAATATTTCGATATATCATGCATATTCGTTAAATTAATGTATAAATTTTATTTTACCCATAAGGCCATTTTTTTTAACTCACAGAGGTCACTGAAAGCCGATTAGTCACTAAACTATTGACATTTAAAATAATACGCCGGATAAAAATGAATGTATTTGTATTGATTTTATTTGTATATTACAAAACAGATAAAGACCTTTTGTATTTATAAATATTTGACATAAAAAAAAGATAAAAATGATTATCTTTTTATTTGTGCATCCACTTGGAAGCAAGTAATGACATTACTCTTTCTCTGGTTAAGCTCTTCAACTAATTTCCAATAGACGGTTGTTTTTATCTGTAAATAATATTTTTAATAGAGTAATGAATATTGCTTATAATTAATAATTAATGATATTTTTGATAAAACAACTGTTACATTAGGATAGAATCCTTGAATCTTGAATGAATTTTTGTATTTGTAGATACCGCCCGCGCTTAAAGGACATCCAGATTTGGTATCATCCATGTTATATATGTTCGGGCAAGCGTCATAGTCATCGACACCGATAAATGGAAGGTTTAAACCAAGGACATTCGCAGAAACCTTAGTCTTTAATTTTGAGATATCTTTGTTGACTGAAAATACCTCTTCAACCGATACGATATTTCCCTTCTTTAGGGGGCATGGTGGCACATTGCAATTCGTAATAGTTAATGATTGAATATTTGAACTGCTGTCTGGCGCTGAAATTATAAATAAATATTATATTTACAATAAGACAATAGATTCAATGATTTTTATCATTCAGAATGTTTACATCAAACAATCATCTTGGTGTTTAATTATTATTGTAATGCATAAATAAATACAATTTTTATTAAAGTGGAATCCAATATAATTAATAATTGCTAGGTGTAGAGATTTATCTAACAAACTCATCTAATTAAGGATTTTTATGAACTAGATAATTTAAAAATGTCTTTCGTTGATAATTTAGTCATTAAATATTCAAGATATCAAGTAATAACTAGTTTCTAATTATGGAAACATTGTTCATTGAGTAAAATGATCATGAAATAATCACAGAAAAATTACTTTTATATAAGAAAAATAATCTACAGTGTATAATTGTAACTACGTCTTACCCCTAATACTTTTAAATAAAAAAATTTATTTAATTTAACAATCTAGATTTCATGAGTATTGTAGAAATACATTATCGACGTGCTGATGTGATGCATCCCACATTCCGTCGAATTATAATCAAGTATGTTTAAATATAAGCGTGCTATTGCAATGGTATTAATACACCGTTTTTATCTAAACAGTTGCAAAATTTTTTTAGTTTGGAATACATTATAGACTTAATAAAAATTTTCTTTAAAATTAAATATTTGATTTCTTTAATGTAAATTCATTTTGAGAACATTAATCTTTAATTATCGACTTAAATTATTGAAAATAAAATAATATATTCCAGTTTCTTGTAAAACTTATTATGTATTTAGCATGCATATTTTATGAGAAAGTTTGCGATTAAAATAAACTTATTCTTATCTAAGAAATTATTTTTATAAAAATTATTTCTTAAAAATTAAATATTTAAATCTCTCATACATTAATTAACTCCCATCTGAATTCGTATTCAAGGTTTTGGTATTCAAAATCATTTAATGAACATGTTTACATAAAGAAAAAATTTCGGTTACTGCAAAATCCTTTCGACCATTCATTTTATTATTATCATTGGTATTTGGTTATTTATTATTCGAGTTCATTAACAATTCAGAAATACTCAATAAGCATATTTTTGAAGACGAGAAAAGTTAATTAACATAACTTAATAAAGATACTCAAAATGTTAATTATTACAGTTGTGATTCCGAATTTGAATTTTCAAATGTAAGCATCAATGACGTGATTTTCTTGAACTTTTATCTCTCTTTTTTTTTGTTTATCTACTGCAAATTTAAACATCGTAAAATCAATATAAAATAATACAAACATAGGAGAGGAGGGGGGGAGGGGGCAAAATGGGGTAGGGGTGGCAAAATGGGGTACCCCCAAAATTTCGTAAAAAAAATTTTTTTTCCCAAAAAGCTCTTTTAGCTTTCTAAAATATATTTTAACGTCATTTCCTACAATTTTAGAGGAAAAAAATTTTTTTAATTAAAAAACAAAAAAATTTTTTTTTTT